CCCTCTGCTCAAATTCACAAAGAGAATGTTCCTTATTTTCCAGGAATCTTGTGGAATCCTGTTAGTGCACTGCTTCAGGGCTTGCACCTTTTCTGGAATTTCAAAGTAGGGGCAGGGGGATGCTAACAATCTGCCAAGTCCAAGCAACCAAATTTTCCAGTGCCTGATTTCCTTCATAGATGCTGCTCCTGTGATTCCTCTTGCTGCCATGAATGTCCATGTAGTGCACTAACAATATTCTGAGCAAATCCTTTAAAAATGAGTGTGAAATACTTTGGTTTCATGTTAGAGAGAGGATAAACTTCAGACTTGCCTGGTAATGAAGATATCTTTTGGAAGCTCCAAATGTCTTTTGGAAGCTCCAAAGATATCTTTTGGAAGCTCCAAATGTCTTCTCCAGATGTCTTTGGAAGGTGGCCTGTTGTTCTGTGATGAAACACATATTATAGAACTTTATCCATAAATATGCTTACTTAACAGCAGCATTTCTTATGCCTGTCCTGTTATTTTGTGCTTTGAGCATCTTTTAATGGATGTGAAAATCTTCTGCAGTATTATATACAGGCTTCTCTCACCTTTTGACGCTTCAGTTTCCAATAGCTCTTTCAATGCTTGCAGTTTACAGGTATATTCCATTAATTCAACAGGGATTCCACTCTTTCATCAGTTCAGTTTCATCATCCTGTGAGGCTCACTTGGGACTGTTTGCATTCACTTTTATGTATATAGAATTTAAAGATATTGCCGTGTTAGTCTGTAGTATCAGTATGTAGAGAGATTTTGTTGCACCTTTGTGACTAACTGAAAGAAAGAAGTTGGCAGCATGAGCTTTTGTAGACTAAAATCTGAGTCTGCATCTGAGGAAGTAGACTTTAGTAGAACTTCTTTCTTCAGTTAGTCTCAAAGGTGCTACAGGATCTCTCTATATTTTGCTCATATCTCGTATGTTAATTTAGCTTTTGCAAACATTCAAAAGTAATATATAGTGTGTTATTTACATTTTCAGGGACCAAAATACATTTGCAAGCTTTAAAAAAAGCTTGGGTACCACTTTTCAACCAATTCCACACTCAGTCAGTTCTGCAGTCCCTAACCCATCAATGGTGGCTTCCTGCATCTATCTCATAGTGTACATTGTTTAGCATGTCATATCTAGAAACCGATGATCAGCATCCACAGGTAGGTTTCTTCTGGTGGACCAGCAGAATCCAGTGGAACAAGAAAGAAACCCAAATGTATCCCCCAAACTGTCTGAACACACAGTTTTTAGGCAGCACATAAGTCTTTGGGGGAGAAAGTTCCATTATGATTAAAAGAGCAGTCCTAGATTAAGGCCTCACTCAGCTTGTAGAATACTTAATTTTTTCATAAATATGAAAATAGATTTTCTTGGATATAGCCTCTCTCCTTTTGTTAGTAATGCATTCTAAATTGTTGTTTCTTCATTTGTGCCAGAATAAGTACGGTATTCTTTCAAAATGGATGTCAAGCAAAAATCCTGACTTGATAGAGATTGCTTGTCTTTTTTTTTTTCTCTCTCCAGACGCTGCAAGTTCATCTAAAGATCTAACTGCTTGGTTTAGTCTCTTTGCTGATCTGGACCCCTTGTCCAATCCAGATGCGGTTGGGAAAACAGATAAAGAACATGAATTGCTCAATGCATGAGGTGTCTGCCTATGGTAATTCTCACTTCACCACTCATAAACAATGTCCTTTGGGGTATTAGAAACTGTAAAAGCAGATCAGTGTGCTATTGTTCAATTTCTCACATCTGTGCCATTCTAACAAAATCAAGGGATTGTCCTTCCTCTTTCTATAGATAAAAGTTACTAGGTCTTGATTTGTATAAATAATTTGCTTCTTCTCCTCTCTTTCTTTCTGTGTGTATGTACTGAATGAGGTTTTGGTTTAGAGGAGATTGCTACCTAGATTAATGTATCCACTGTAACTTGGCTCTTGGCAGAGAGGTGTCATGGCTAACACAAGAATGAAATATAAATGAAAAACATATTTTTTATATTTTTTTTCTTTGTGCAAATCAGAAAATAAAATCATGTAATTGGAGGCTGCATGAATCAGTTGTACAGAAAGAAGTATTTACTATACTGCTGCAATACTAAAGAAATGAAATTTCTATTGTTAGTATCCATAGTGAAAAATCTATACTTTGAGGCTAACATTTATAGAGTTATATTTGAATATTTATGGACCGACTGTATTCATTCTGTAATTTTAAATTAATAGGCAAATAGCATAGCATCCATCTACACAGACTCCCCAGATAACTTTGTTCTAGTGTGTTCTTTTGTGCCAGCAGTTTCTGCTGTTAAGATACTGGGTTGTATTGATTTTGCCAACATGTGCATTTATAATATTCACACACAGCACTTTTCATCATTGTCAGTTTCATATCCACATTTTCTTGAACCTGTTGTGACACTCTTCTTTAATAAATATGGTTTTGACAAAAAAAAAAAAGATTCCTATTTTATTACTGGAATGTGGGGAATTCAACCAATGAAATCATGCTAATTTGGTTAAAGGGTAATAATTCATCTCTGCCCCGAAACATTATCACATAGATGCTAGAATCCTCTTGATGATGTGTATTGGTGTAACTCAATTTTATTGTTGTGTGCCTCCAAGTTATTTTGGACTTATGGCAACCCTATCATAGAGTTTTCTTGGCCAGTTTCTCCAGAGGGAGTTACCATTGCCATCGCCATCCTCTGAGGCTGAGAGAGTGTGACTTGGCCAAGGTCACCCAATGGGTTTTTATGCTCCAGCAGGAATTGAAGCCTGATCTCCAGGGTCATAGTCCACCACTCAAAGCAGTACATCACACTGGCTCTCAACCATCAATTATACTTTCATATTTATTTTGCTGACTTTGCAGGAGGTATCCTATCCATACTTATGTTATCCTCTTTGCCTTGGGTGTTTTAACAGCACAAGGGGCTTGCAGGCACAGTTCAGTCACTTTGTCCACTGATCAGCTACAGAGATGCATCCAGGAACAGCCTGTGTACACCTCCATAGCCAATCATTGGCAAAGAGGAACAGAGCTGTGCCCATGAATCCCACCCCAACTGCTGGTGCATATCAAATGGTATCTGCCCACCAGGCATTGTAGGAAATGTAAATGATAATGCCAAGTTGCCTGTTGCTTATCAGAATGTTGCTGTTTATATGGGGGAGGGGGGGTCATTCACTAGAAGATCCTTTTACTGGAGTTGGTCCTGGGCAGTAGCATCTTGGATTCAAGACTTCTGCTTGAGGGGATACTTCCATTTAAGTTGACACCTCTATTTATCTTCCCTTTATTATCCTTTATTTTGGTTTAGAAAAACAGTGTGGTGTAGTGGTTTTACGTGTTGACCAGTGTTCAAATCCCCATTCAGCCACGGAAGTTACTGGGTGACCTTGGATGAGTTATACTCTCTCAGCCTCACAGGAGGGCAATGGCAAACTCCCTCTAAACAAATCTTGCAAAGAAAATCCCATGATAGGTGTTTTCAAGGAAACAAATTGAAGATTCACAATAACAACTTCAATTTAATACTTTCCAGTTACGTGAGAACAGATTGTACTGTAGCCTTCTCCCCATAAGTACCATATATATCAGAATCTACTGCTTTTCATTTTTAAATGGCATTCTCTATTGAAAGGCAGATCTACACTGAGGGGAGAACCATGAGGTGACAGTGGATTTTATCAAATTGCAGGTATGATACTCTGTTAGAATGCACCACCATTTTTAAAACAACAAAGCATACCACCCTCCCTGTAAGAAAACTCATCTCTATTTCCTTTCTTTGCTCTATTAGTTTTGCACTTTCAGGATTTTCACATAGGGAGTATTAAAAAACATGACCCCATACTTGGAGACTGAAGAGAGATCATCTCTCACTTCATCCTGTTGTATACACCCAACTCATCTATAGATGCAGATTTCTTTTGCTTACCAGCCATTTGTTTTTTATACCTCCATTTCATGCACATTTAAATTCAGGTAGCAGGACCTGAATTCAAAGCTCATTAGATGTCCAGGTGTCTGAACTGAAGGGCTTTGAAGTGGTCAGTAATAGACTTTAAAAACCTAAAAAGCTCACTGAAAAGCAAATAATTATCTCTGTTTCTGGCATGACTTAGGATAAGCAATAGTTCATTGTAACCTGTGAAATTGTGAACCTTGACTAACTGAAGGGGATACTTTGTAGACCACCAAATTATTTTCTGTGCATTTATTTATATTTATTAAAAATACATCCTGGAATCCTGTATGACCACAACGTACTATGTAGCACTGTAATGATGATGCTACATAGTCAATTCTGGCAGACCTCCCCAAGCCTCACTTACCAGTAAGCACTGTTTGGTGGATTTTTGATGTCATTGGAATTACCAGTAAGCAGAAAGTTTGGATAGATGGGGGTCCATTCCCGTCTGTCTAGAAGCAGCTGCCTTACGTTCCCATCCCTTCTCATAAGTGATCTTCAGTGCAACAGGCAGAAAAAAGACCCTGTAACAAATCCCCTTCATGCCAGAGATCACTTGCTCAAAATGGTGGATGGGAACGTGAGGCAGCTGCTTCTTGATCATAGAATCATAGAGTTGAAAGAGACCACAAGGGCCATCCAGT